ATACACGGAAATGACCGTGCAGTTACAGAAGTTGCACAGAGGTAGTTGCAGAATTGGCAGATCATGGGGTCGTGGGAATTTTATAGCTATAAAGGGCAGAATGTTTGCAGAGAGAGAGGACATGAACAACAACACAACTTACTTTCTACATTGTAACTTCTGTGCAGTTTTTTCCCTTCTACTTTCTACTTTGTTACAAACAACACAACAACTTACTTTCTACTTTCTACTTTCTACTTTGTTACTTTCTACTTTGTTACCATCAGTTCATCGAAAGAAGTCTTCATCCATTTCAGGCATTTGAACCAATACCACAATTGCTTGATTTTCTTTTTGAACTTGTCAACTTTAAATTATTGCTTCGTTGTTGTCGATATAGGCCCACCATAATTTTACTAACAATAAACCCATACTTCCATAGTAAACATTAAATAATTTCACAACTCCTGTTCGTAACTCGTAATTCATATACCAATCGGCATGGAGATAAAGTAACGAGTTCGTTGGGTTACTTTCTCCAAGTAACACCCAAAATTAACTGCCACTTGGATTATATACAAAATGCATGTACTGGTATGTAATTTTGCAAACCCACTTGGACAAAATTCGTATTTTACTCGAAATATAATACTAATTTAACGACACAAGTCATAACAAATCAATACGAAGCGAAACACATAGTTAGTTGATAAACCACACCGCAAAAAACCCTTCAATTAGATCCAACCAAATATGGAACAGAAACAAGCAACCCGCAATAGGAATCTTGGAATACAGACATAAGCCAATTTCCCACCCAAAACAACACACAGACAACCCATATATATCTCACCTCACCTTCAGTTAGTTTTGAAAATGACAAGTCACTGCAAACACAAATGACAACATCACTCTAAACAATATGGGAAATTTACAACTCGTGGCCTTGTACATAAGTAACGTTGTGCCATTTCTTGGCATTGTACGTAACCAATTATTTACACGTTACGTACAGCAATCCGTGCAAAATGAAAACTACATACATTATTTCCATGTGTTTTCAATAGCTAGTACTGTCTACCTAATAAATTAAGGGAATAAGTAAATCATACAAATTATACAATTACCTGATTCACCTCATCAATTGTGTTCGAATCATTTTTCCACACTGCTACTTCAACATTACCGTATTGGCCCACAGGCTGCTTGGAATCAAGAGAAACATCGAAAAATAGTCGTCGTTGCTTAATGTGCGGTGTACTTGGATCCACCAATCCAGTTTTGCAGCGAACGGGCAATGACTCCGCATTGTACTCACGGTCAGTTATGTGGGGTGTATCTGTATCTAAGTTAGTACCCACTGTTCGGCTAAACCGAACCTTAGGACACGTTCGCTTTGTGTGCCCAATGCATTTGCAATTCCCACATTTTCTTGGTCTTCGACAGTTGGACGAGGCCCGTCCTGGGTTCCCTTTTGTCTTCACAACATCAGGATCTTCTGCTCTAAATTATCGACGGAATGAATGTTTCCCTTTGTCTCCATTCCCACCGTTCAAATTCCTCTCATATAACTCCTTCATCCGGCTCGTCATCGGAAGACATGCATCCCTAGCATCCTTGAAACCTTCCGTTGATTGCGAGGCATAGAAACACATTTCGTTGTAGGAAGAACACAATATCCCATACCGGGCCGTCTGTGTTGTAGTGCTATCAATTGAGGGTTGAGGCCATTGCTGGCCATCCTTGCTTGCAGCCCTTGTCCATCTATGCAGCACACAAGTTGGGGGAATTTGCGTTAAATTTTCAGCTTTCATAACACATATCATGTGGCAGCAAGGTAGCCCCAACGACTCAAACTTCATGCAAGAACATCTCATTGCAGCATCCATTGGACTGTGTGTTACTATCCATGATCTGTCCTTCACTTTGTACTTATGAATATAGTAGCATTTCTGACCATCCGGCAAAGGGAACACATCCTTCACATTCAACTTCCCCTCTTCTAAACACAATTGTTGTCCTACATTTTACGTAACGAAAATACACAACTTATTTATATCAAAAACAAAATATACATCTCGGGTTTATAATAAAAAAAATGGAAACTACTTTTTTTTAAAAAAAAAGTACACTAAAGTATGATTGGTTATTTTTAAGAAATTCGTCTTTGCGCCTATTTTTCCCACATCCTGCCAACAGCTGCTCCATTCAATTGAGGACACATGGCAAGTCCACCTGAAGACAAGGGTTATCAACTAACATTGAATCTTGCATGCCACCTGACTTACACGCTGGAACAGTTACTGGCAGTGCTCATGGATTTAGTGGCCACCCTCCAAGAGGAAACATAACGAATTGGGAGTCTGTATCTGTCGAGGAAAGGCTAAAAGGACTTGGGCACAGGTGGCAACTTCAATTATATGCACTTCGACAGGTACAAGTGAAGCTTTTATGTGGTTTCAATACACGGAAATGACCGTGCAGTTACAGAAGTTGCACAGAAGCAGTTGCAGAATTGGCAGATCATGGGGTCGTGGGAATTTTATAGCTATAAAGGGCAGAATGTTTGCAGAGAGAGAGGACATGAACAACAACACAACTTACTTTCTACATTGTAACTTCTGTGTAGTTTTTTCCGCAGATTCGAAATCGCGGGCGACTACGCAAAGTTTGGTGATGTGTTGATATTTGACTCAACTTACAGAACCAATGCATACAAGAAAACTTTTGTCATGTTGGCTGGTGTGACTAGCCACTTTAGGACCACGATATTTGCATGTGTTTTGCTAGCTAATGAGACAACTTGAGACATACACATGGGTTTTGGAAACATTTATGGAGGCGATGGCAATAAAGCACCTGTGTCCGTACTGACAGATGGAGATAAGGCGATGCGAAGGCAATTAGAAGAGTATTTCCAGACGCAAGACATCGATTATGTAATTGACATCTTGGGAAAAATGCTGTTTCAAATGTTCACATAAGTGCCTTTGCACATGCTTTCAAGCAGTGCATGGATATGGAAACGGATGAGACAAAGTTGATGAGCATGGCTAGACGACAATGGTCGAAAAATTTGGACTTCAAACCAACAGTTGGGTGTTGGAGACATATGAGAAGCGTCATATGTAGGCTGAGGCATATATGCGTGGACATTTCTTTGCTGGGATGAAGAGCACTCAGCGCTCGGAGTGTATGAATGCTTATTTCAATCCTTTCCTCTAACACAAAATTGAAACTATATGAGTTTGTTAGGCAGTATGATTGGGCTCTTTGCAAGGAATAAGGTATAACGAGGCTGGAGATGATGCTGAAACAAATAACACTTTTCCGGTATTGATCACTCCATTGCGAGATATAGAGAGACATGGAGCTGAGCTATTCACCCGAAATATATTTAGAATGTTCCGTGATGAAATCTTAGAAGAGGGGAAGTTGAATGTCAAGGACGTGTTCCCTTTGCCGAGATGGTCAGAAATGCTACTATATTTCATAAGTACAAAGTGAAGGACAGATCATGGATAGTAACACACAGTCCAATGGATGCTTGCAGTGAGAATGTTCTTGCATGAAGTTTGAATCGTTGGGGTACCTTGCTGCCACATGATATGTGTTATGAAGCTGAAAATTTAACGCAAATTCCCCCAACTTGTGTGCTGCATAGATTGGACAAGGGCTGCAAGCAAGGATGGCCAGCAATGGCCTCAACCCTCAATTGATAGCACTACAACACAGATGGCCCGGTATGGGATATTGAGTTCTTCCTACAACGAAATGTTGTTCTATGCCTCGCAATCAACGGAAGGTTTCAAAGAGGCTAGGGATGCATGTCTTCCGATGACGAGCCGGATGAAGGAGTTATATAGAGAGGATTTGAACGGTGGATGGAGACAAAGGGAAACATTCATTCCGTCGATAATTTAGAGCAGAAGATCCTGATGTTGTGAAGACAAAAGGGAACCCAGGACGGGCCTCGTCCAACTGTCGAAGACCAAGAAAATGTGGGAATTGCAAATGCATTGGGCACACAAAAGCGAACGTGTCCTAAGGTTCGGTTATAGCCGAACAGTGGTACTAACTTAGATACAGATACACCCCACATAACTGACCGTGAGTACAATGCGGAGTCATTGCCCGTTCGCTGCAAAACTGGATTGGTGGATCCAGTACACCGCCCACATTAAGCAACGACGACTATTTTTCGATGTTTCTCTTGATTCCAAGCAGCCTGTGGGCCAATACGGTAGTGTTGAAGCAGCAGTGCGGAAAAATGATTCGAACACAATTGATGAGGTGAATCAGGTAATTGTATAATTTGTATGATTTAACTTATTCCCTTAATTTATTAGAGTAGACAGTACTAGCTATTGAAAACACATGGAAATAATGTATGTAGTTTTCATTTTGCACGGATTGCTGTACGTAACGTGTAAATAATTGTTATGTACAAATGCCAGGAAATGGCACAACGTTACTTATGTACAAGGCCATGAGTTGTAAATTTCCCATATTTGTTTAGAGTGATGTTGTCATTTGTGTTTGCAGTGACTTGTCATTTTGAAAACTAATTGAAGGTGAGGTCAGATATATATGGGTTGTCTGTGTATTGTTTTGGGTGGGAAATTGGCTTATGTCTATATTCCAAGATTCCTATTGCGGGTTGCTTGTTTCTGTTCCATATTTGGTTGGATCTAATTGAAGGGTTTTTGCGGTGTGGTTTATCAACTAACTATGTGTTTCGCTTCGTATTGATTTGTTATGACTTGTGTCGTTAAATTAGTATTATATTTCGAGTAAAATACGAATTTTTGTCCAAGTGGGTTTGCAAAATTACATACCAGTACATGCATTTTGTATATAATCCAAGTGGCAGTTAATTTTGGGTGTTACTTGGAGAAAGTAACCCAACGAACTCGTTACTTTATCTCCATGCCGATTGGTATATGAATTACGAGTTACGAACAGGAGTTGTGAAATTATTTAATGTTTACTATGGAAGTATGGGTTTATTGTTAGTAAAATTATGGTGGGCCTATATCGACAACAACGAAGCAATAATTTAAAGTTGACAAGTTCAAAAAGAAAATCAAGCAATTGTGGTATTGGTTCAAATGCCTGAAATGGATGAAGACTTCTTTCGATGAACTGATGGTAACAAAGTAGAAAGTAAAAAGTAGAAAGTAGAAAGTAGAAAGTAAGTTGTTGTGTTGTTTGTAACAAAGTAGAAAGTAGAAGGGAAAAAACTGCACAGAAGTTACAATGTAGAAAGTAAGTTGTGGTTGTTGTTCATGTCCTCTCTCTCTGCAAACATTCTGCCCTTTATAGCTATAAAATTCCCACACCCCATGATCTGCCAATTCTGCAACTACCTCGTGCAACTCTGTAACTGCACGGTCATTTCCGTGTATTGAACCACATAAAAGCTTCACTTGTGCCTGTCGAAGTGCAAATCTTCTCTTCA